CTCTTCCCCCTTTCTCCCTCTCTCCTTTCTCGGTGTGATGAAACATGAGGTCTTGTGCTTGAGTGCTGGCTCACGTGGTCCCTCTTTCCTCCTTGCTGTTTCCTTTCTACAAAGCCATGGACACTATCAGTTGTATTCCCAAGGCATTGTGGGACATGATGCTTGTAAATGATTCTTACAAGGCATTTTGGAGCACAGGAGGGTTCCGTAAATTCTAGATAATAACAGGGAGCACAAAAGAGTTACAATCAGCTGGCTGAGCGAATCCCTCTCTCTGAGGACACAGATGTTGGCAGTCATCCTTGGAGGAAGTCTCCAATTGAATCCACATTCCAACCTCATAAACCATCTTCCTCTGACCCTTCCTTGTGTGAGGAACAATACTCTGTTTAAGATCTAACTCTAAATTTCCGGCCCTTTGTTACCACTGCTGCTGTGTTTGCCCTACAGTGTATGTAAATTTAACTTGCTCTTTTTACAGCTGACTGGGAGATTTGTGGTGATGGTTGGAAGGTCATGAAAAGAGATGCAGATGATCTCGAGACAGATGGAGGGGTTGGGTCCTAGCATTACTTACCTCTCATTTCAGTTCGACAACATGGCAGTAGACTATGAATGCATGTTCCTGACACTCCTTCCCCAAGAAATGTAAAAGTAAGGAAAGAGGAGGGGGAGAAGTCAGGCCAGGAACAACAAGATGAGGCCACATGAGCCTACAGGTCGGATTTACTGCTATGGCCTTGGCAAGATCACCCAATAGGTAGAGAATAAGGGAACCCTGGAAAATTCCTACATTTGGAGCCATTAGACTACTTGCTTTGTATCAATCTGCTAAGTAAAAAATGGTAACTAAAGAGATGGAACATCTTTTCGAAGATTTATTAATAATTTGAGTTAATTTTTCTGTGAGCTATGTGTTTTTGCCCATCTTTCCAAAATGAATGTAGGACCTTTTTCTTGTTGTTTTATTAAAGCCATTTGTATATTAAGGACAGTAGCCCTTTTGACATAGGTGTTGTAAATGTTTTTCCCTATTTGTCATTTGCCTTTTGACTTTGTATAAGTATAAATGTTTGTCTAAATGAAAGTTTAAAATTTTTTACAGATTGGTATTGAGTTTTTGTTATGCCTTCTGAATTTTGGGTCTTGAATAGGAAGGTTTTTTCTATTTGAAATATATATATTATATAATATATGACATCATGTAATTTATAATATATATCCTACATTTACTTCAGCATTTTATTTTTTGATGTTTACATTTTTATTCATGTTATTTCTTTTGTTGGGAAGCAGTGAGAGAGATTTGCTTACCCATTCTTCCCTTACCAAAGGCCAGCCAGTTCTCTAGTGACTTTGGTTATTCTGTTTTTTCTCACTATTTAAGAAAACTGCTCACATTCTACGTTCCCAGATATATTTGGGTCTATTTCTGTATACTATATTGTTTCATTGATCTGCCTATTTTTTCCTCTAGTACCAAATAGATTTAATAACTGTGGAGAAGACTTAAATTCTCTAATTGGTATTCTCAGTGGATTTAAGAGGACATGGTATCAAAAAGGAAATGTCTTAAGAACAGACCAGATTGCTTTCAGATGTAAAACAAAATTACCAAATGATAGGTTATCATGGAGGCAGTGAACAAAGAGAGTCCTGCAGAAAATTCAATCAGTGAATTAGAAGATTAGCTGCCAAATTCTAAGGAAAATAAGGAATGAAGATTGTGAGTGAAAATGACATAGCTTCAGGGATGGGTGGGTGGATGGATGGATGAATGGGTGGATGGTGCTAGACAGAGGGGATCAGAGTTTGCAGGAAAGGGCTTGGGGGCGTGGCTCAAGTGGTACAGTATCTGCATAGCAAGTGCAATTCCTTGAGTTCAAACCCCAATAGCACTAGAAGGAGAGAGAGAGAGAGAGAGAGAGAGAGAGAGAGAGGGAGAATTTGCAGAAGAACCAAGAATGCAAGGAAGAAGAGAAACAACCAAAGAAAGAATAGAATAACATTCTTGTGACTGAAGACAGACTCTAGTGTTCAGGGTGAGAGGAGCTGTCAATGGGCAGACACATTCATCACTGTTCATCTGATTCCCACTGAAACGAGGCTGTAGAACTGACTGTGGCTGAGTTCTTTGTGAACTTCACATGCTTTAAATCAGGCTCCAAGCTTGTCTTCCTTGGGCTCCCACCACCAGCTCCTGGCTCAGTTGGCTGCTGCCTCCTCCAAGCACCCTGTTCTCTGGGCTTCCAGAGAATACAGAATAATATGTTTCTCTTATTTTCCCTCCTCCTCCAGGGACAGTTCTTCCTCTGGCTACTCTGACTGGGCTCATTGGAGCCCTGCCTTAACCCTGTTCTCTCCCTGGTGACATCTCTGCTTTCCTGACCTCACAGGCTTGCACATGCTATCCCATTCTGCACAGGTTAGGGTGCAGACTCCTTCAGCCTGTACGCACGTACCCCTCACCTTATGCAGTGCATCTCATCATTGACATCTTAATTGGGAGGTCACTTCCTCCAGAAAGCCCTTAGGACCCCATCAAATCCAGATTAGGTGTCCTTCTGGTCCTACGGTGGTCCTGCCTTCCCTCGATGGAACTGCTTACCCTTTCCTGTAGCCCCTCCCACGAGAGCCTGTGCCCTGAGGGTGGAAGAGGGCCAATTTACTTTGCTGTTTAATCGCCAACAGGAAGCACAGTGCTACATAGCTAGGCATGCAATAAATGTATGTGACTTACACATGCATAAAAAGAGTACCTTTTGGGTATTCACTAGTTATGGGTAATTGTCACTTAAAAAAGAAAAACTGAAAGCTTTCTCACTAGTCTGACTTTTTTTTCCTATCTGTGCAGTATATGTTTACTCTGGTTTTAATGATCAGATTATTTTACCATGTTGGAAAAGGAAAATTTTAATCTAAAATTTAGAGAAACCAGCTGTGTTCTTAGGGTCCCACTTTGGGGCACACAGATGGCTATGAGTTTTCTGAGCGGACCTCAGCCCTCCGCTCTTCCCTCCACCCTCATTCCTTCTTTAGGAGGCCTTTATTAGTTTCCCATGGTTGCCATAACAAATTACCAAAACTCAGTGGCTTAAAACAACACAGATTTATTGTCTTACAGTTCTGTAGGTCAGAGGTCTGATGTGGTTCTCCTGGGGGTAAAATCAAGGTGTCAGCAGGGCATGTTCCTTCTGTTTCCAGAAACACATGTTGAGCTCACTGTAATGATATGCATGCTGAAACATTTAAGGAAGGTGACTGATGTCTGTAATTTACTTTGAAATGCATCAAAACCAGCATGGATTGATAATTGGAAAAAAGAATATATAGAAGGACGGATATGTGACGCAGTAAGTGTAGGAAAATGTCAAGGACAGAGTAGCTTTGAACCTACAACCATTTGCTTTCATGTTTTTTCATTTTTATGTTTGAAAACTTTCTCTCTCTGTCTGGTGGCACTGGGGTTTGAACTCAGGGCCTCATGCTTGCTAGGCCTTACCACTTGAGCCACTCCACCAGTCCTTTTTTTGTGTTGGGTATTTTCAAGATAGGGTCTTGAGAACTCTATGACCTGGCGGCAATCAAACCTCGATCCTCCTGATCTCTGCCTCCTGAGTAGCTAGGATTACAGGTGTGAGCCATTGGCACCTGGCTCCCCATTAAATTTTTAATAGAACCTAACTGGCTGCTTCCTTTGAGGTCCTGCATGCTGTAGTCCCCACTCCCCTCCTCTCAGGCTCATCTGGAGCCACACCACTGCTCACTGGTCACACCCTGTATCTCTTCTTGTTTCCTTTAATGACCTTTGTTTTCTGTCTCTGAAATCATCCTGGGGCTCTAGACCTTTGAGACCCTTTTTTTTTTTTTTTATTGGTAGAACTGGGGTTTGAACTCAGGACTTTTCACTTGCAAAGCAAGCATTCTACCGCTTGAGCCACACCCTGTTACCCTGAAAATTCTTTTAATAAAATGTTTGAAAAAAAATCTGGTAATGCTATCACCTAGATAAAGCCAGTCTTTCATTCATTTATGTCAGCCTGTCATTTTCATCTATGTCAGTGGTTCACACCCTAGGCAATTTTGCCCCACGGGACACTTAGTAATGTCTGGGGACATTTTTTTATTGTCCTGACTGGGGCAGTGCCACTGGCATCCTAGTGGGTAGAGGCCAGAGAAGCTGGTAAACAGCTTATGCTGCATGGCAAAGAATAGTCCAGCCCCAAATGTCAGTAGTGCTGAGTCTAGAAACCCTGACATATGTGTGCATATCTGATTATATGTATCATACCTACTCATGTGTTTATGTATGCACATTTTACTTTTACATGCATATATATATTTTTTCTTTTTTTTGGCAGTACTGGGATTTGAACACAGGGCCTCACTAGGCAGGCACTCTTACTGCTTGAGCCACTCTGCCAGCCCTTTTTTACATATATTTTAAACAAAGATTCATATTCTCATAATCTTCATTTTCATAGTGTATTGTTATTTTCCAAGTAATAAAATTTCCTCTCACATTATGGCATTTTAACGGCACCTGTAGATCATATGCTGTGGTTTACTGTGCCCCACTCTGTTCGGGCATTTTAGGTGGTTTCCCATCCCCAGTAAAATCTGGGCTGGTCCTGTCAGATAAGTCTCTTTTCTGTGTTATGAAGGTTACTTCCAGGAGTTCTTGGGACCAACTTGGTGTCAGTGTTCTCTGTGGCTGGGGCATTTGTTCTTGGAGTGTCCTCCAAGGTTGTCACCTTTCCTAGGGGTGGATTTTCTCAGAGCCTGTGGGCAGCAGAGGTAGCAGTCAGTAGTGTGGCATCTCACCAGCCCTGGCTCAACGTTGGGGAGCCCAAGCTATGGATCTGGGGGTGTGGGTAGGGGAGAAGGAGACCCAAGTGCTCTGATTTCCTCCCCTTGCCACTTACGGCTGAGTTCCCAAGTACACTGACCTTGACCTCTGTCTTCTTTCAGTTACAGGCCCCTCCTGCTGATGAAAAGAGAAAGGAAGAATGGACTACAGTCACCAAGCTTCCCTAGTCCCCTGTGGACAAGATAAATACATTTCCAAGTAAGGTTTTTGCTATAGTGTTGCAGTCCCAGTGGCCAGTCTCATGTTGGGACTTTGTGGGTGGATGGGAGCCACTGGAAGAGGGGTGTCTCTGGCATGCCAGAGAGTCAGGGACCTTATATATGAGAAGGAATGGAGCAATTGAACTTGGACTAGTTCTGTCAGCAACATGCCCCTTTGCTGATGGGGTAGCTCAAGTGTTAAGAGCACCTGCCTAGTAAATGTGTAGGCCCTGAGTTCAAACCCCAGTGCTGCCAAAAAAAAAAAGAAGTAAAAGCATGCACCTCAGCCTAGCCTGGGAGGGAAGAAAAGGGGAGCAGCACACAGTACCTTTTGGGGACTTGAAAGAAGTGCTGTCCTGTAGGGCTTCTAGGAGGAAGTATTGGCTGACAGCTGCTTGCTATGGTCTGAATGTTTGTGTCTGCCCCCTCTCCCCCCCTGCCAAATTCATTTATTGAAACTTAACCGCCAGGGTAATGGTGTTGAAAAGTGATTAGGTCATGAGGGTGGAGCCCTCACCAGTGGAGTTAGTGCCCTTAGAAAAGAAGGTGGCGGGAACTGGTTTGCTCTTCCCCCAGGTGAAGATGCAGGGAGAAGGTATTGTCTGTGAGAAATGCACTCTCACCAGACACCAAAACTACTAGCACCTTGATCTTGGACTTCCCATATTCTAGAACTATAAGAAGTAAATTCCTGTTGTTTATAAGCTTCCCAGCCTATGGTATTTTGTTGTAGCAGCTGGAACAGTCTAAGACACAGCTCACTACCTGATGGGGAGGGTTCTTGGCTGGAGTAGTGTGTCCTGAGGCTGGTTGTTGCTTCAGCTGGCACTGGTGTCCTCTGAAGAGAGGTTTCATTGCTTTCTGTGACAAAGGTTGAAGTAAAATTGATTTCTTTCTTTTTTTTTTGGTGATGTTGGGGATCAAACTCAGGGTATCACAAACAACAGGCAAAGCACTGTACCACTGTATCCTTAGTCCCCAAATGGACTTTTTTCCATGGTAATTTTGAAAATATATTTTTATGTCCACCACAGGGATTTTATATACCGAACATTCTCCATCTTATAAAATGTTTAGTTTATCTGAGACTAAATTGTTGTAGATACACCTGGTGTTGTAGATATACACAGATGCCTGCCCTGTGAGATCCAGAACTTTCTTCTTTTTTTTTTTGGTGGCACTGCAGTTGGAACTCAGGGCCTCATGCTTACAGCTTGAGCCATTCTACCAGCCAGCCCTTTTTTGTGATGATATTTTTGAGATAGGATCTTGAGAACTATTTGCCCAGACTGGCTTCGAACTGCGATCCTCCTGATCTCTGCCTCCTGAGTAGCTAGGATTACAGGTGTGAGCTGCTGGCACCCGGCTCAGAGCATTCTTACTTCTTTGTTGAGGTTTACCCAGGATCGCCTACCAACCAATAATTTTAAATTCTGGTTTCAGCAGATGATGACATTTGGTTAGATTATTTGGAATCACATTTTCCAATAATTCATTCCAGATTGTGTTGAATTACTCCTTTATTTAGGTTTAACTTGTCAGGAGTTTCTTGGGTTTTCCAGTGGGTTTTGATGTCTCCATTGGATGGCTGGGTTTAGAAGGACAGAACTCTTGACCTCCTGTCTGTGAACAGGCAAAGGCTCCTCCTGCAGGCTCCTCTTAGCGTGCAGTAACAGTTTTTTTTGTTTGTTTGTTTTCCCCAGTGCTGGGGTTTAAACTCAGGGCTTTGTACTTGCTGGGTAGGTGCTGTACCACCTGAGCCACACCCCCAGGCTGTTTTGCTTTGGTTATTTTGGGAATATGATCTTGTGTGTATGCCTGGAGGGCCTGTACTACCATCCTCGTATTTAGGCTTCCCATGTGTAGGATGACAGGCATGCACCACCATACCCAGCTTTTTATTGGTTGAGATGGGAATCTCACGAACTTTTTTGCCTGGGCTGTGCTCAAACCTCCATCCTCCTGATCTCTTCCTCTCACGTAGTTAGGATTATAGGTGTGAGCCGCAGCACTCAGCCTAACATGAACTTTTAGATATATAGAAAGCATTTTTATGAAGAATAAATATTGCCAGGTCCCCAAAGCCTCTCCCTGCATCTACTTGCTGCTTCCCAAGGTGACTCACTGTCCTGAATTCTGACACCGTTTCAAACTTTATATAAATGACATTGTTTAATATCTTGTCTTCAGTGTCTGTCTTCTTTCACTCACATTACTTAATACCTATGGGATTCATTCATGTTCTGTGTTGTGCATTTATATATTTATCACTGTATAATATTCCATTGTGTGACAATAACTTCTTGTATTCTTCCATTTTATTGCTGATGGGAGTTTGTAACTTTTTTTTGGTGATACTGGGGTTTGAACTCAGGGTCTCATGCTTGCTAGGCTGGCTCTACCACTTGAGACACTCCACCAGCCCTGAGTCTGTAAGGTTTTAAGCACACAATAAGGTCATGTCAATGAAGTCCAAGTTGGCATAGCCCAGTCTTGACCCTGTGAACCTTCTGAAAGCCTAGAAGATTCTGAGTCTTACAAAAACCTGTAGGTATATGTGCATGAGGTAGGAGGCTGTGGAAAGGTGGGAGAAACCCCATCTGTGGGCTTGAAAGGGTATATGTCTCAGAATCATCTTAACTTGGAGAACCAGCTTGGTTTGAGATATGCCAGCCTTTGTCTGCAGACAAGGCTGCCTTGGTGTCCTGGAGTTGCTTCTCTCATAGTCTGTTCCGGGCTGGTGCATACTCTCTTGCCCTTGAGGGAAGATGGTAATGGGGTGGTGGTGGAGGAACTGTGTGTGTGCGCACCTACAGCTATGCGGACATACATTCAGAGGGTGACTGAGGCCAGGCTGGAGGTGAGGAAAGGAGGGAATGACTGCATGAAACATGGCTTCAGTTGGAATGTTGAAATCTTCCCTAAAGGAATGAACTTCTCCTGCACCTTAAGACCTATAACTTATACTACGAAGGCCAGAACCTGCAGCTCCGACACCGAGAGGTAAGGCGTCCCCAGGGAAGTCCTGGGAAGCCCCTGCCCAGCTGGGCTGCCCTACCCTATGTGTCCTGGGTCTGAGGGGCCCTGAGGCCTCCAGATGTCCCTGCTTCTTCTGCCATTGCAAGTGGCCTCTCACTTAGGATGTCAATGAGAGTCTTGGGGTGCTTTGCAAGGAAGCCTCTGTTGGTTCTTCCACGTTTACATGTCTGGGCCCAAGTCCTCTGGCTGAAGCAACTGGGAAGGTCACATAAGCTCTTAGGGGCAACTTTCAGCCTTTCCCCCAACTGCAGTCATCTTCTCAGCTGCCTTCTCAGAGTGTCCTTTCTGTCCCCTGACTTTCCCCAGCCCCCAGTCTAAGGCTAAGCTTACCCATCATCTATCTGTTTCTGTAAAACCTGTTATCAGATAGATGGTGAGTGGTGAAGACGGCTGGTGGAGTAATTTAAACTCAAGTGTTCCTGACTGATAAGGAGGAATGTGTAATACCTTCTCAAACACATTTTCAGGTTCTCAAGCCATGGCAATTTAATCCAGAGAAACAGATAGCAGATGGTGGAATTTCAGCTGCTAAGGCGGGCTGTCCGGGATAGGAGATGGGATGCGGTGTTCTTCAAAGCACTCCACTTAGGCACGTCCTATTGTGGGTTAAGTTCCTCCCACAGTTGTGCAATGTGAAATATGGATGCCAGCCTTGGCCGGCTGGATGGCCATATAAATGGTCTGTGCTTACATGAAGCATTTCCCCCCAGGACTCCCAATGCCCTAAAGATGTTTCATTCCTCTTCTGCTGCCTTTTACTCCCCACCCCCAAGGATGATCCTTTGGTTCAGGTTGGGTGCTTACTGGGCAGACATCATTTCACCCATAGAGCTCATCCTAAAGACGTGGCCATGACCCATGTCTGACACCTGTGGGCTCTGACCATAAAACACAGGTTCAGAAGGGATTTTCCGAGGGTGGAGGAAAAAAACCTGACCCTTTTAGGCAATGTCCTCAAAGCTTCTATTAATTAGTGCCTGGTTATGAGCAGGATTCTCGTTCAAAAACAGCATTCCTGGGGTTAAATCCTCAAAGTGCTCCAAGAATAAAAGGTCTCATGAGATCTGTTCTCTGAGTTAGAACATATCAATGCCTTAGAAAGGTTCACATTTACCTTCTTGTTAGTCAACAATCTTGAAGTATAAATTTGGAATTCCTGCAGGATTTATTCACCTCTTGGAGAGTCATAACATAGCACATTAGCTTATTACAGGCGCTGAGAAGTTATGCTAAGAAATCTGATTTCATCCTCTCCCACATCATGATCACTGGACACCCTTTTAAGGCAATGGTTCGTCTGCTAGAGGAGCTAGTGTTCTGTAAATAAACTTGGGAAAATGCTGCCTTAAATCTCTTTCACCCAGCAGGTCAGATTGCTAAGCATATATTATAGCTGAAGACACTTCTCTTTGTAGAATAGAAAAGGAGAAAGTCGCTAATTCAAGGCTTTAGTTCTTGCTTCTACTAGAGTGGCTAGTCTCACTTACATTAGAAGCAATGTATACACATGTGAGTAAATGTAAAAATGATAAAAAAAAGGATGTATTCTGATTTCTTAAAAGTCATTACTGTAAAGACAACAAAAACGTTTTTATAAATTGCACATGTATATTTGAGTTTCACAGCACCTCTTTTTACCTTGCAGTGCTGGGAATTAAACCCAGGACCCCCTCATGCTGGGCAAGTGCTCTGCCATTAAGCTATACCCCCATCCTCTTCACAGCAGCTTTTGGGCTGACCTTTGAGGTCAACTTCAGGGTGTCAGAGAACTTTTCAGCAGAGCGTGCCTCTGAACGCGTACACGTGAATAATTCACATCCTGTTAACACAGTCCGGGCACAACTGGCTTGGACACATGAGGATGCTATCCTTTATTCCCCAGCATGGTACTGGCTTCTGCGGGGCTTTTCTGGGCTCATCAGGCTGATTCCTTTGTGGCAGGAAGAAGATGAATTCATTGTGGAGGGGCTGCTGAACATCTCCTGGGGGCTGCGCCGGCCCATCCGTCTGCAGATGCAGGATGACAACGAACGCATCCGTCCCCCTCCGTCCTCTTCCTCCTGGCACTCTGGTTGCAACCTGGGAGCCCAAGGGTGAGTGAGGGGAGATGGACAGACTCAGAGGAGACCACAGTGTCTGGGGCTTCTGTGTGTCCTCAAACAGATAAACGTCATCCTGGCCCCTGTGCCTACCTGCTTTGGGCTTGAGATGAGGAGAAAAGGGACCGACACTTGGTGTGATAATGGTTCTCCACCCTTTCTCTACAATCATGAGTGAGGTCAGACGAGGAGGGGAGGTGCTGAGTCAGAGGTGATGGATATGCGTGTCCTCCCTCATGGAGAATCTGGGTGTCTGGGGATGTTGCTAGTGGTTCACTAGGCCAAGCCTATAGATTTCTGACATGATGTCGATGTGCAAGTGTCTTCCCGTTGGGACCATACCTCCTAGAATGGCTCTGCTCCAAAAACATTTAGGACTTGAATCTTCTGACCAGTGCTCTTTCAGTCCTGGGAGAGCACTCATCTGAGCCAGCCGAGTGAGGTCAACCAAGGATCTGCTCCACACCTGGAGCCAGGTCATGGCATGTGGGCAGGAGTCTGGGATGTCCCCTCCTCCTGGTCCCCACTGGGGGGTCTGTGAAGATGGTGTGTGTTCCTCCCCACTCTCCATGACCAGATGTGTAGCCAAATGCATCTTGTAGGCACACCCTTTTTACTGTCCTGGGACTTTGGTTTTTAGGATCAAGTGACTGGGTTTGTTCCCTCATGAAACTTGCTGATGTTGGCTGCATTCAGGCCCGAGTCTGGGTGGAGGGTACCCGGCTAAGCCAAAACCACAGTGATGTGTTTTCTAGTTTAAAGAAGAGCCAAGCCCTCTCTGTGGGCCATGTGGAACGTTTTGTTAAACTCCATGGCCAAGTCTATCCTTCTCTACAACTGAGAGATCTCTACAGTGTAGCCAAGCCCTGGGGTTGATCTGGGTTCTTTCCAAGAAAATTTAAGGAGGAAAGTTATTGCCCATCCAATTAGGCATCGGAATGTCTGGTCAAAGTTCTTTGGTTTCATCTAACTTTGCTGCTTTCAGCCCTTTCACTCTATCTGATTTCCAGTGGGCCAAACTCTGTTCACTGCCTGACCTTGACCCCCTACATTGTTACATTCCGTTCTCTAAGCGAAATGATTTAAAAAATTCCATTTGACTCTGGGGCCTTTGGGGAGCCCTTCAATCTGCATACTTGTTTCCTCGTCCTTCCCTTGGCCCCTGTGGCATCACACTGTCTTGGTCGGCTCTTGAAGTCCTCAAATACTTTGAGAGCTTTCAGGAATGTGTTCCTGATGCCAGCTAAACTTAAGTGAATGCCTGGACTGCTGTGCATAGAAGGATGCTGAGGCCAGTTTCTGCTTCAGGGAGAAAGAGCGTTTCGGACCAGGGAGTGGAAGCAATGGATGTGGGTGCTAAGTGTTCTCACAGACAATCCCAGTCTCAGCTCAGACTGCCAGCTGTGCCCCTTTCTCCAGGCTGGCTGGGGACTCTGTCCTTGTAACCCTGAGGATGCTGTCATCAGCACCACCTTCAAAGCTACTGTGACCTTGGAGCAGCCAATCTATTACCTGCCACTCCTTGTAGATGCCAGAAGCAATTTCTGAGTTATTCCTCCAACTGAAATGAAGCCAAACTGGAATCCTGACTTGAGAAGCAAATGGCTGTTACTAGAGTTTTTCAAATAAGCCATGGAGCCCACCCGTGCTTAGAAACTCGGTGCAGGCAACACGCGGATTCTGTTCTGTGGAGTTCTCCTTGCTGGGTTCGATGAATTGGGTGCTTGTGTCGCTGCAGAAGCTGGGAAGGAACATCTGCTTTCCTCTGACCCCCCCTCCCCCCACCACTTTCCACCCAGTGCTCAGCCTGGGAGCAGGGCCAGCCTCTGGGATGCTCAGCGCAACTTGCATCCTTCATATGCTGGTACCTCTCCTGGCACGAGCAAAGCGCTCCCCTTGCAGGATGGGGTTGGAGTGGGGGCATCTCTCCACAGTGGCTAAACCAGTCTTCTTTTTGTTTATTTTCTTCCCCCCAGCACCATCCTGAAGCCCCTTGGCATGCCCAACATTCAGATCTCAGAAGTGGACGCGCCTCCTGAGAGTGACCAGACACTGAGCCCCACAGGTACCAGTCATAGGAGGAGCCTCCAGATAGGGGTCAACTGGGTGACAGCTGCTGTGATAGATGCTATAAATGGTGGTTGATTTGTGAATATCTAAACTTCACGATTCAAAATTCAAAATATATTAAATAGGATTAAATGTAATCCTAGCTACTCAGGAGGCAGAGATCAGGAGGATCACGGTTTGGCAAGTAGTTTGTGAGACCCTATCTCAAAAAAATCTAGCACAAAAATAGGGCTGTGTGGCTTAAGGTATAGGCCCTGAGTTCAAATCCCAGTACCACAAAAAACCAAAAAAACTCCCACCTTGTCCACCCACCATTGAGGCTCCCTCCCTATAATCAACCCAAGCACATCCTTCCTGAGTTAGTTTGTACAAATACAGACAAATTCACACTCACAAACCTTTGGAGTTGGATACAATTTCGTCTCTTCCCCTTTTTATACGTGGTGCATTTTGCACATGGCAGTTTTTAATTTGTATTTATCAATTTATCTTGTGGTTTCGCCATACAAATCCATAAAGAACTTCCTTGTCCTTTACAACCCTTCAGTACTCCGTTATATGGGAAAATTATAATTTATTTAATCATTCCTGTTGATAGACATTTAAGGCATTGTCAGTCTTTGCAGTGACAAACCAGGCTGCAGTCAGTGGCCTTAAACATGTGACATTTCACCCATTTGTCAGGGCCTCTGTAGGATTCTTTCAGGTAGAGTTGCTGGGTCTGAGGCTATGTACATTTGAAAATTTGACAGATATTGTCAGTTTGCAAATCTTTATATATATATATATATATATATGTGAATATATATGAGTGTATATAAAACATACTTTACAAAAATTAAAAAAAACCAGACCAACCTACTCATGCTTCATAATTCTGTTAATGTCAGTGTTTTACATAATAGGCATGCATGGATAAAAATATGTCATGGGACCCCATATGTTTATAGTTATGTACTCTATTAAGTATTTTTCCTGCTTTTTATTAAATACATTCATAATTGTTGTGTAACCACCATTACTATACATCTCCAGAACTCTTCATCGTATAGGACTGAAACTAGAGGGTATAGCTCAGTGGTAGAGTACTTAGTTAGCCTTGCAAGACCCAGGGTTCAATTCTCAGCACTGCAAAAAATAAAATTAAAACCCTGAAAAATAAAATAGAAACCCATTCAACAATAATCCCCATTTCCCCTCTTCCCCCAACCTCCCCCCCCAAGCCCTTTGCAGCCACCATTCTTCTTTACCTCTCTCTGATTCTGACCACTCTAAGTATTTCCTACAAGTGCTATCATATAGCACTTCATCTTGTTTTCTTTTTAAAACTGGGGCTTGAACTCAGGGCTTTGTGTTTGCTAGGTAGGTGCTCTATCACTTGATCCACGCCCCCAGCAGTATTTGTCTCTTTGTGACTCGCTAATTTCACTCAGGATACCCGTCTTCAAGGTTCATTGATGCAGTGCCATGTGTCAGAGTTAGTTTTCAGTATTTTGCAAGCCCTTAGATCACCTGACCCTGTGCCAGGCACCGTTCTAGGCACTGTATGTGTACTAACTCTTTGAGGTCCTTGCTACTTAAGGTGGTGCTCTTATTATGCATTTTTTTTTTTTGGCGGCACTGGGGTTTGAACTCAGGGCCTCACACTTGCTAGGCAGGCATTCTACCACTTAAGCCATGCCCCCAACCTTGTTATGCACTTTTATGGATGAAGAACAGGCACAGAGGGGCTAGTAACATGGCAGGGGTGGAGCTGGGACTTGAACCTGGGAGGCCTGTGTTCCACCCTTTCACTGTCTTACTTCTCAGTAAATTAGTACCATACCTCTCCTCCAGCAGGAAATCACTTTAATACAACATATTTGGGGGAAGGCAGTGAGTGCCATTGTGTTGATTATCAAGGGGACTATATGGCAGCTTGTTCAGGCAAACAGAGCTTATTCCCTCCTTTCCTGTCAGATGTGAGGGGCCTGAAGCCTGTGCAGGAAGACACCCCACAACTGATGCGCACACGCAGTGATGTGCAGCCTGCTGTACACTGAAAGCTCTAAAAACATCTCATGAATACTCACTCCCGCCCCACCCAGGTGAATCTGCATGGTACCCTCTTCCTGACCCTGGGCCTTTCAGCAGGTGCATAGTATGACTTTTCCCTGAGCTAAGGACTGACCTGCAGTGGTCTCAGACCAGTCCACCTCCCACCCCACCCAAGCTAGATGGCCCCTCCCTTCCTCCTGCTGCTTGGTTCACATCTCAGCAAGTGCATGATGGGAGAGTGGCCAGAGGACTCCTCCTGCCACAGCCCCAGGGAAAGGGTCTTTGTGAGTGCTTTATTTGGACAGAAGGTCCAATTATCTGGTCCCTTGGGAGCTCAGACCCAAGCTTCCCTCAGGGCAGCGTGAACTGAGTTAGACAAATCTAAGCTCTGCTTTGCTGCACCAATGCTCAATGCATACCACCTTGTTTCAGGGCTCCAAGGGAGCACGTTTTGAGTACTGTTATCACTGTGCCCTGTACCCACCTGGGTTTTAGAGCTCTGCCCTTGTCCCTACTCCCACCCTGAGCCAGACCTCTCTATTTGGCAGACGTCGGTGTTCACGCCGGCCTATGGCTCTGTCACCAATGTTCGCATCAACAGTACCATGACCACCCCGCAGGTTCTGAAGCTGCTGCTTAACAAGTTTAAGGTTAGTTCCCTTTGCTGGCTGAGTACCTTGGGGGCTCTTGCGGGGCGGGGGAGGTATGGAGAGTGTGCAGTTTGGGGCGCTGGTCAGAGGCTTGGGATCTTTAGACTCTTCCTTTTCAAGGCAAGGTCTACAGCATAGCTTCTCCCCGCTCCCCAAGCTTGTTAGAAAAGCAGACTCTTGGGCTCTATCCCTCACGCTGAGTCAGCAACTCGGAGAAGGCAGGGAGCCTGTCCAGCAGGTCTGCAAGGGGCTGAGAAGCATAGACCTGCAGGGACTTTGTGAGGTGCCATGAAACAACTCTAGAGTCTGACCTCTGGTTTGGAGCTCAGTGCACAGACTGACTTGCACAACACAGTTTGGGATGCTACTTTGAAAACTGATACTTAAATGGAAGGGCAAATTATAGTGCACGAGTGCTTTTAAGGTCCTGTTACTCTGTTTTCTGCAATCCCTGTATAATTCTTATGGAGACCAAGTGTTCTCATTTTTATATTTTGGGTTCGGATTTTTTTCTTGAGATGCCAAGGCTGGTCTTGAATTTCTGAGCTTGAGTAATCCTCCCACCTTAGTCTCCTGAGTAGCTGGGACTACAGGTGCATACTACTGGGTCTGACCAGCATTTATTGGAAGCCAAGGACACTTGTGAGCTGTTGAATGAGACAAATGCCTTCACCTCCCTTTGCTCCTGCTTCCTCATGTGAGGGGAGGAGGATGGTACATTGTTATCCAGCCACCATGAGTGTAAGATGAGTTGAAACGTGAACAGTGTGTAGACTTCACACTATTACCAGTTGTGTCTCTCTAATCCAAAAACCCGATGGCTGAAATGCTCCAAAATCTGAAACATTTTGAGCACAATTTTTGGATTTTGCAGCATTTATTTTGCTAAAGTTAGCTGCTGGCCCCATCCCCTCATCACTTCTGAGAGCTGTAAATGAAAAGCCTTCTCCTCAGAGAAGCCTGGAATATGGCTCACAGCGAGGATGTTTAACGAGTCTCTTTTTCTACTGATTCAGATTGAGAATTCGGCAGAAGAGTTTGCTTTGTACGTGGTCCACACCAGCGGTGGTAAGTCTGAGGCACACAGTGTACTCCAAAACTTTTAATTAACTTAAAATAGCAAGTTAAAAAAAATACCTCTGCCTCATTCAGTTGTTGCTTGGGCTGTGGAAACTTCCAAATGTTTGCCTCCAAGGCTGGTGGGCTTGCTGGACGAGTCCACTATGGGATGCTATATATGGGCAATAAACAAACCCTAAAACCTAACAGCTTTCTGAAAAAGAACCAGATTTTCTGCAGAGGCAGATAAAGCCAGTTCCTCCCAAGTGGCCCCTTCCAAAGGGTTTGAGGCCATGTAGTGTGGTGAGACGAGTGGGAGGAGGTTTTAACCACACCTGTTGTTCACTTACAAACCAGTCTCCTGACTTGTACAGGCGCATCTCCTAAGGTGCCTGGTCCATTTGGAGCCTGAGTGGACCACTACCGTGAAAGGGTCAGGTCAACTCAAAGCTGTTCTTGGTGTATGTGGTTCCAGAGAAACAGAAATTGAAGAACACCGATTTTCCCCTGATTGCCAGAATCCTCCAGGGCCCGTGTGAGCAGGTCTCCAAAGTGTTCCTCATGGAGAAGGACCAGGTGGAGGAAGTCACCTATGATGTGAGTTCCCTTTTGATCCGGTGGTCTGTCCTCAGGAGGGTGAGGATTTGATGGGGTATAGCACAACTTTTTTGGGCAAGGACCATGTCCCCTTTGACTGTCATTCTTTAATACCAGGTTTTCTTAGTTGAGGGAGTGTCCTGTAGGAATTGTTAGAGCAATGCTCTCGGCAGAAAGTGATTTCCACAGAAGACATGAATTTCCTGAGCCTTTTTAGGATACTGTAAGAGGTTTGCAAAGTTTCTGCAAACACTCCAACACCATCAAGAAGTTAGCAGTGATTTTTGCCTTCTTTTATATATTAGTCAGCTTCTCCTAAGGTAACAAACAGCCTCAAATCGCAATAACTTACAACAACAAACATTCACTTTTTTTTTGCTCATGATTCTGTCAGCTTGTAGCAACTGCTGTGCTCTGGGCTGTAGGCTGAGTTCAGGTCTGCATTGTGTGTCTCATTCAGAGACTCAGGGTGAAGAAACAGTGACTACTTGGAGTGCCCTCATGGCTGATAGCATAAATCCAGGGTGGAGCACGTAAGCACTTTTGAAACCTCCAATCAGATTTGGCATAAGTTGTGACTGCACTCATTCCATTGGCCAAAGCAAGTCACAAGGTCAAGCTTCATAGGGTGGGGAAATACACTTCTCCCATGAAGGAAAGGTGATGCAGAAGGGAGAGATTCTGGTGGGAGAGGAGACACCATTTCCTGTCTTTAAGTCACCACGGAGCCACTCACAGCCTCTTGGAAGCCAGGTCTCTTCTGAATGCCTGTTTGTCATGCTGACCCATGACGATTCCTTAAATTTGTTTGTTTGTTTTTTGTGGTACTGGGGATTGAACTCAGGGCCTCATGCATGCGAAGCAAACACTAAACCACTGAGCTATATCCCCAGCCTTACATCACTGTTTTAAGAGAAAGTGCTTTTCCAACTCCCAAATCATGGATTGGAGATGAAATGGAAAATGAGAAGTTGTGACACAGTGTCTTATAAATGAACCAGTGCAGACTGAGTCAGCTTTGAGAAGAGTAAGGCTTGGTTCTTGTCTGTAAGGAAATCCCGGGCTAGTGGAAAAACACATTTCTGAAGGCTTTGTGCCTTGTGGGAAGATGATGGCAAAAGAAACTGGCATAATGCTGGGAGCGGAGTGTGCCCCCTACATTTACTTCTCCCTCCCCAGGTGGCCCAGTACATAAAGTTCGAGATGCCGGTCCTTAAAAGCTTCATTCAGAAGCTCCAGGAGGAGGAAGATCGGGAAGTCAAGAAGCTGATGCGCAAGTAAGCATGGGCCCTGTCGCTGCTTGAGTTTCCCCTGGTGTCCTGTGAGCTGCTGTGTGGGTCAGGTCTCGTGAGATTTTTCTGGGAGCTGCCCATTGATAAATCTGGATCTCAGACAGGGACAGGAAAATTAAGTGTATTGGTTTTCCTCCCTTTTATTTTTGTGTGAGTCATCAAAGTGTGTTTTTTTTTTCTCCTTTTATGAAAGAGCCCTGAAAAGAAAGTGTTGGTTTAAAATCTTTGAGGGGGTCCAGATTCAAATCCCATTTATGAATTCATTTCTGTGGTTACAACAAAATACGAGAAGCTGAGAAATTTGAAAAGAAAAGGGGTTAATTTTGTTCACAGAGGAGGACCAAAAGCATGGCCCACTTCTGCTTAGCTCTGGCAAGACCTTCGAGGCAGATAGCATGACCATGATGGGGGCATTTGCAGAAGAGATCACATGATAAGCTGGAAGCCCCCCCTCCAAAAAAAAAATCAGGGGCCGGACTTGCTTTTTTATAACAAGTTGCTCTTTTGAGAGCTATTGGGGGTCCTATAAGTACGTTGATCCCTTCTGAGGACAGTGCCCCAAAAACCTAATTACCTTCCCAGGCCTCACTTTTTAACACTTCCATTACCTCCCCATCTACTGGGGACCATGAATATTGAGAAGACACACTCAAACCGTGTCCAAACCACAGCATCCTGCTATCCCAGGCAATGACCAGGCTCCCAGCAGGAAATGGATGCCCTCTCAGATGGGGAAATTTGAGGAGCATTTGTTGAAGGAGTATTTACAAAGACAGCGGTAGAGTTTGGGGTCACCTCAGTGGAGAATGGAGTCCCCAGGTTGAGTGTTGCCACCCCATGCCTAAAGGAGTGAGGACAGGGAGTGCCAACCAAGACCCTGGAGAGCTCAGGAAGGTTGTCTTGGCAGTGGAAGTGGTCTTAGCCACCTGCCTCTAAAGCCCTTTCAGCCTTCCTGTCTTTCACCTTGGTGGTAGTAAGCACTCAGTTCATGGAACCCTAATTAGTTCTGCTGTTAATTTTTTTTCCAGCTTCTACACTTCTTTCACCAGGCTTTCCAACTATAGTAAAATAATCTAATTTAGGTTTAGCCTCTTTATTCCCTCTCATGCTGAAGTGGTTGGCCAATGATGGAAGCAAGGGGCACGCCCACATCTTACCTGGGTGGTATGGTGCCACGGCCTCTTAGTCACGCTGTTTCCTCACCTTCTCCCCAGGTACACCGTGCTCCGGCTAATGATTCGGCAAAGGCTGGAGGAGATTGCCGAGACCCCAGCAACAATCTAAGCCACAGACACCCCAGGGGCTGCCATTGATCCCAGAAGACCCACAGGAAGCTGGGTACTTTCCTCCCATGGAAACATTTAAATGCAAACCTCCCCAGCCCCAGACAAGCCATCATGGTTCCCTGGAGCAGGATGGAGAAGCCAGCAGACAACTACCCGTCCTTGGATCCCTGCTCTCCTCTCTTCCACTTGCAAGGACTTTTGAGTTTTGTTCTAAGGAGAACCCAAAAATATATATGTGTGCATGTGTGTGTGTGCACACACACACACAACCCAAGTCCATGTGCCTCTCTGATACTTTCACATGCAATTAAATTCCAAGCAACCAGCGTGAGTGCCATGAGCTGGTAGAAGCGCTGCTCATGGACAGGAAAAAAGGACATGTCTGAGAGGCTTTGGCTAAAGAAAAGATGTTTTCCCTCCAGTGCTGGGGTAGCCATGCATATCACCCATGTGTGGAAGGCAAAAGGGCTCCACCAGCTCCCCATTAGGGGGATTTATATATTAAGAGAAAACCTCCCTATATGCCTAGAAGGATTGGTGAATATGATGTCCTTAGAAATTAACAAAAGAACAGCCCCATCCCCTTGGGGCAAGTCAGATAGATCGGAAGAGATAACCCATCCTGGGTAGAAGCAATGAGGCCACAAGTTTTTACACTGGAAACTTTGATGGTTTTAAATAACAAAACGAATGTGCTTTTCTGTGTGGATACCCAAAAAGAATGGATTCAGCCTCTGTTCCTGCTCCACAGCCACCTCAAGAAGTCAGGGAGCCTGCGTGTTTCTCACCAAGCTGCCAAACGAACTCTCTGGTGCCTCCTTGGGTTGAAGGAGAGTCTCATGAAACAAAGGTGTTGCTGGTGTGCATACAGCACTGATTGGCTCATGTGCCCTGAGCCTGGCTTGTTCTGAGATGGTAGCCAGGAAATTTCCAACTTCCTTTCTTAGGGCTAAAGGGAAGGGTAGAGGTCACTTGGTTAAATGACACGTGTCTTCAGGGCCAGCCCATCTCACATCAGCAAGTCTTCCTGCACTTGGAGCTGGGGACTATGTGTTTGAAGTCAAGATTTTATTCTTTCTAACCTCTGGATTCTTGCACATTCCCTCACCTTGTGTGTGGAGATGGACTTGTCCTGCTGCTTGGGGATGCTTTTAGACTGTCCTGTGAGGAAGGACAGGGCAGCCACCTTGCTGATCTTTAGAGGCAACCTCAGTGGGGGGAAGGGCAGGGACTGCCTGTCCCCTGGGATCCCTATCAGGAAACTTGCCAAGCAGCTGTGTGACTGATATCACTCGAGGGGGGACAGACAGATGCTTGGAGCCAAAATCAGGGGTGTCTGAGCCTTGCTGTGGTCTGGGTGCTCCCCACCTCTTCTTCACCTTCTCTCCCAGGAAGGTTTGGAGAGCACTGGCCAGTGTCCCCAAAGGGAGGTGGCTTTTTGCAGCAGACCCATTCCCATCCCAGGCACTCTCTGGTCCCCCATCCGTGCCTGTGCCTATTGGCTTTTCCAAGGCCGCTTTAAAAAGCTCACAGCTGTGGTCTCATTGTGGACTTCAGAAAGATGGCAGGCTGCCACCAGCCATCTTGCTGGAGATCTCGTACTTCCTTTGCGGGGAGCAGCACCACCAGCCCCATGGGGCGTGGGGCAGAAACCCAGAAGGCTTAGTGTCAATCATACGCCTAGGTGATTTCTGCAAAAAGCACAGAATGGGAGGGGGGTGGGGAGGGGCTTGGAGGCGGGTGAGGCTTCCTCTGTTACAGATGGGAAAGAGCAGATTTGTGAATGCAGCATATCGAGAAAATGCTTTGGAGAATTTCATTTCCTGAATGTTCAAAGCCTTCCTCGCCCCCAATAATTCTCCTTTGGGGGCCGGGAGGAAGAATTTCCACAAAGCAAATTACTAACCACTAACTCTTACTGGACAGCTATTTCTGGTTTATAAATGTTTCTGTAACTTGCACTCACTTTACAATAGTGTTAACTATGGAAATGTCGCATAACACCAGTTTGCCAGGTCACTTTCCAAGAATGGGAGACCAAAGTAAACTTGGCTTTTTAAAGTGTGGGTTCTGGGTGGAAGTAGGGGAAAAGCACATTCTACACACTTCACCAATGCAGGCCACACGCTTCCTTTGTGGCCAGTCCGTGGAGGTCATTTCTCCCCTCTGAATAACCTGATCAAGGAGTTTGGAATCTTGGTGGGTGTGGAGCTCAGTGGTAGAAGCTCAACCAACCAACCAAAACCAAACAGCTCCCCTCGCCCAAAACAAATAAAGCAGAAGGGTAACAACAAAACCCCAAATGAACTTTAGAATGCTTTGAAATAGCAGCAGCTGAAACACACCCTCTATCACAGTATGGACCATTTTCCCACTGGTATTGGATGGCCTCGCATCTTTGAACTCCTCCACTGACTTGTGTTGGTTATGTAATTGTGTACAATGAATCCGAAGTTGGGTGAAGAACAAAAGGCCGATGTAGAGGGTTTTCCAACTTGAGAAAAGCAGTTGGGTTGCATCTGGCCTTTTTTTTTGGCAGAGGTTTATGTTACAAGGTGATCAAGTGAAGGAAAACACCCTGAGTCTGTCTGACTGGGGTGGTAGAATTAAGCACTGGTCACATTCTTGGTGATCACATTAGTGGGAAGGTAATGACTAAAAAGGGACTGTCACTTGGGAAGGGGCCGAGAAGCACAGATGGGTGTGATGGTGAGGGGTGTGCACCCTGGTCTCCCAGCTTGAAGGACTTCAGGTTCCAGTTGAGGGTAAGCTGAGAGCTCTCAGGAGATTTGCCACCTGTCCCGAGAAAAGCACAGACACCTAAGGTCAAGGTTTTGATAAGACATGCTGATGCTTCAAGAGACATATTTGCACCTTTTCTCCTTCCTACCAAAAAGAAAATAATATTCTGTCCTAGAAACTTCCAGATAAAGACACTTTATCAACATATCTATGGCATATGATGACCCCCCCTCAATTTTTCCTCTGTACAAAAAACATCCTGACAAGAATTCTTTTCTGTGGAGTTGGGTGATAATTTAGTGTCAGGAGGAAGGAAGGAGAAATGAGCCAAAAAAGGGCAAGAAATTCTTGTTAAAGCAACAAAAACAACCAATCAACCAAATAAACAAACAAGCAAGTAAGCAAACAAAAGTGAAAAGCAAAAAAAAAACCTTACTTTTTTTTTTTTTTCCAGAGCTTTATGTCATGAAGAATTTAGTGTCAGGGACATATCTCTAGGAGAGAAATTTCTGTTCCGTCAAGGGAATTTCAGTGACCATGGCAACCAAACCATGATGTGGGAGTACGAGATAGGAGGAGACCCCCACCAAGCATCTTTGCTACAGCACACATTTTTGAGTTTCTACTTAAATTATTTTACAGAAATTCTTGCTTGAGTCAGAGGAGATAGGACCTACTAGAGAGGACAAAATAAACATAAATGTGACACCCCTTCTTTCAGTGTAACTGAAAGTGTTTACCCTGTCCTGGGACAGTAAAGTGCTCTCTGTCCCACCCCCGTGTTTAAACTGAGCACAGAATTGCACAAGCTGTGAAGGGAAAGCCTCAGTTTCCCCTGTCAGTGTCTTTCTGGCAGATTGCAGACGTGTTTCCAGGCTGATGTCTTCTGGTATGTAATTGCTAGTTTTTTGCAAGGGTTTTCCCTCTTGTTTTAGTATTGTGAAATACTCTTTTGGTAATCATGACTTGCTTTTCAGCGATGGTACATGACCCAGTTCAATGTTTCTTTCTGAACTGATAAACGGATGTATTGAAGCATCTTAACATTATTTGACAAGGCCTCAGTAGGGAGCCATACGATTTTGTAACCTTTTGATATGTTTTAATGCACCTGACTTAGATCTTACTGAAATAAAGCACTTTTCAAAGAGAAGCACCCTGTGGATTTAGTCTGTGTATCTCTGAATTGGGAAAGGGTGTTTATAAGGTTGGGGACATGAATGTGAAGTCAAATTCAAGAGATAAATTGATTTTCTTCCCCAAGAGCTTATGGTTTAAGTGGGCCTAGACCTAGCTACAATGTTCTGTCTTAGCCTATTTTCTGTTGTTATAACAAAATACCAGAGACCAGATAATTTATAATGAACAGAGGGTTTATTTAGCTCACAGTTCTGGAGGCTGGGAGGCCATGACCATGGAGACAGCATCTGCTTAGCATCCTGTTAGAACTTTCTCACTGCACTGTAGTATCACAGAAGGTATCACATGGTAAGACAAAGCCAGCATGCTAGGGAGAGATGATCTGTAGTTTTGTTTTGTGGGTGCTGGGGATTGAACCCAGGACCTTGTGTGCACTGGGCACAAACTCTACCACTGAGCTGTATCCCCAGCCTGAGAGCACGTTGATAATAAACCTACTCCACAACCCATTAATCTAGGAGTGGATTCATGAGGCAGAATTCTACTGACACAAGCACCTTCCACAGGTCCTGCCTCTCAGCATTGCTGCATTGGGGATCAAGTTTCCAACACGTTAGTTTGAGGGACACATTCAAACCACAGCATGTTCCAAAAAGGAAGTGCAATGAGTATGTCCTCCTATGACTCTCCAGTTGAGGCCTTGGGGAACCGGGATCATGGTGGAAAGAGTGGGAGTGACCACACAGTGAGGCTAGATTCCACCCAGACTCCACCCAGGCTCAGTAGGGCTCTAGAGCCATCTTAAAGAGCCTTGTCCTCGAAATTGGTTTCCTCAAGCCACCTTGTAGGGATATGGAGACCTGGACTCACCTCTGTGGGAATGAGAGCTCTAGTGGTCACTAAGAGTAAGGCTTTCAGACTAAGGCCAAGTTCCACCCTAGGGAAGGTCTGATGGTTAATTTTCTATAACCACTTGATCACGCTGTGGTACCCAGATATTTGATCAAACACTAGTCTAGATGTTGCTGGGAGGTTGTTTTATGGATAGGATTAACATTTAAATCGGTGGACTTTGAGCAGCTTATCCTCCATAATGTGCTGGGCTTCATCCAATCAGTGAGGCCTTCCTGAGGGAGGACTTCTGCTTCCAGCAGTCACATAAGCCAATTCCTTAAAACAAATCTTTCCCATCTGTGTGTGCGAGTGCACAGTCAAACCTCCGTATCTGCATGCTCCACACTGTTGGATTCAAACAACTGTAAATCAAAAGTAGTTTTAAAAATTCCAGAGAGTTCCAAAAAACAAAACGTGAGTATGCAGCACACCCAGCACTACGCTGACCCCATGTGAGTTGTGAACAATGTCCAATGCAATTTGGTCTCTCAAAAAAAGTAACAGCCAAGGCAAGACTTTTAATGACATCTCCCCAGACAATGCCTCACTATATTTAGGGGGTTTGGATAAATTAGTTCCCACTGAATGTTATTTTGATTTTCGTCAAGAGATGGCTTTTTGGTTGCTGCATTACTTATGCTGGTTGAACTGGATGAGCAGGCAGTTAGCCCTTCAAAGGCAATGAGACGTTTGTGCACGTATCACAGGGATGGAGGTGGTATAGATGAAAGAGAAAAGGTTGGTTTGGGGTCTTGCCCCAATAAGCAATAAGCCTTATAGAAGTTAGATATCCCCAATCACCCAACTTTGGCCTTCTGCCAAAGTGGCAGCTGTTCTTGACTTGCTGTATGGAAGCAGATTTTATGAAATGACTTAGTATTGTTTGCTTTATGTAATGAATTTATTATTGAATGGAGTTTCACATGAGTACAAGACTTTACTGTGAAATTCTGAACACATTTAAATAGGTTACTGGACTGTTTAAGTATAAGCAAACTACTAAAAGTTGAACTTGGGTAAAATTGATACTGTTATTTTATTTTAAATCCATGAAATATAAAGGTTGTCATTTATAATTTCAGTTAAGCATATGTTATGTAAGCACATAAATTAATTTTACATAAGTCACAAATTACTAGTAAATACTTTAGGAGAATACCAGTTAACTTTAGAGATTTTAAACTGGAGACCAACAGATAGGGACCAGTGTTAGTTCAGGACACTTCCAGGCTATGCCTGTCATTCTAGTGTAATTATTAACAGCAATTCTTTAAACTCTAAAAATGTCCCTGTGATTATGATAAATAAGACCACTCACTCTATCTGTTAGCCAAAGAGCAGCTTATAATTTTAATGAAGTCTTCTTTCCTCCTTCCTTCTTTCCTTCTTTCCTCCCTCCCTCCCCCTCACCCTCCTTTCTTCTTCCTCTTCTCTCTCTTTCTTATAGACAAGGTCTAACTATGTAGTCCAGGCTTTGAATTCTCTATTTTCCTGCCTCAACCTCCTCAGTGCTGGCATTACAGGTGTGTGCCACCACACCCAGCTATAATGAGAATTTTTAAAGAAACAGCCATAAAATTGAATTGAAACATGTTCAAACTTTAGGATAGAACTAAATCTAAACACTTATTTTGGTAGAATACAAAGTACAATGTGAATATTTTATATAGCAATGTTTTGCTAACCCTGATGTAAATGTGCTTTATACATATATACATACACACATAAATACATAATATTGGAGCTTTAAAATTGGACACATTGGCATTAACTCATAACTTTGGATTTTATTTTCATTTTTTAAATTGGAAAAGCATTGGGCTAAGGACACAGTTTGGTGGCAGGGGACTTGCCTACACTGTGCATGGGAGGCCCTGTTAGAGGGCCTTCTTTGCAAGGATGATGGCCTGAGTTCAAACCCCAATACCACCACCACCAAAAAAATTTTTTTTCCAGCTTTATTGAGGTATAACTGACAATAAAAATGGTGTATATTCATGGTGTACAACTCAGTGATTTGCTATACATACACTTCAAGAAATGATTACCACAACTGCTTTCTTAACACCTCTATCACCATGCAGTGCATGTGTGTGTGCATGTGTGTGCTGATGATACGTAAGACCTACTCTCCTGCCCCGTGTCAGTGACTCGCACTTGTAATCCTAGCTACCTGGGAGGCAGAAATCAGAAGGATCACAGTTCAAAGCCAGACCCAGGCAAATCGTTTGAGAGACCCTGTCTTGAAAAAAAACTCATCACATACACAAACACACACAAAAAATGGCTGTCAGAGTGGTTCAAGCGGCAAGAACACTGCCTAGAAAGTATGAGGTCCTGAATTCAAACCCCAGTGCCACCAAAAAACAAAAAAACCTACTCTCCTAGTAAATTTCAGGTAAACAATACAGTGTTATTAGCTGTAGCCACCAAGCTTACATTAGGTCCTTGGGACTGATACATCTCATGACTGAAAGTCTGCCCCCTGACTTTTTGGAAATGACAACAAAAGCACAAATCACAGAAGCAAGAATAACCAAGTGGCACTGCATCAAACTCAAGTGCTAAACAGCAAGCAATCAGCAAAAAGAAAAGAACCTACAGAACGGGAGAAAATATTTGCAAACCACATAGCTGACGAGGGGTTAACATCTAAAATGTCACTCAACAACTCAGATTTTGAATGACCCCTGCTAGTCACTAAGACCCTTGGAGCTGCCCCAGTGCCACCTGCTCACACCTGCAGAGCCACCTGGAGTCAGCAGCACCCAGGTGTGGGTATTTGCCAGTGTCCTCCACTAGAAAAAACAGGGTATCTAGGGGGACAGCTGGTGCCAACAGTGAGGCAGAAGGAACACTGCAGTGTGGGTGTGTTCTGCTAATGGAAGGTAATTATGCCTCTGAGATGGCTAGGGTATAATTTGAGGGACAAACAGCTAATGAGAACTCACTTGCACACTGAATATTGAATGTCTAGGGCTATCAAAGGCTGTGAACCTGAAATGAACCCAAGGAAAGATCCTAAAGGTAGGAGGTATATTTGAGAAATGTAATTTTGGTTAAAGTTCCTTAATCAACTTTTGGCAATAACACAAACTGTCACAAAAATCAACTCCAGTGTTTGGCCCAAATTCTTAAGCTAACTTAGCCAAAAGAGCTGACTACCACATCTACCACCCGCTGAAAGAAGCCAGAAAGTAAGAGATGAATTTAAACATTCATGGCAATCTAGAGAAGAATTATAAGAAATACTAAGTGGATTTTTCCAGGTTGCTAACACAATGCAAGTATGTAAAAATGTGTTTCTAGGTATCTAATCTAAGAGTAGAAAATCACATTAAAGCAGAAAGAAATATCTCATCT